GGGTGCTCTAACTCTACAAACCGTAGCACACGTGGGACTTAAGAAGAGACAAATGAAAGTAATTATTTGTTTAACAGGAATGGACTCCTTAAACTATATACACATGAGCAACTATGTACAATGTAATAATAAAGCATCTTATTATACAGCGTGCTCCAACGCGATGGACGCTCCTACTGCAAATGCACGTGGCACACGACACATATTATAACTAAAGGTAGGGAGCAACAATTTGGGATATATACAGTGAGATAAAGAAAATATACATTGGCACACAATACGCACGTTGTATAAACGCACACAGAACTTATATACACTGGATGGAGGACGGATGGCATGACACACTCGCACAGGCTCTGCTCCTAACACCGTAATGAATAGCTCTAAACTCGGCTACCGGAGAGGGCCCCTGGGGAACTACAATATTCACAAGTGCATCATGGGTAATGTAGTGAGGGACTTTTAACACCAATATTGCATATTAACTAAAATATGTTCTTCTGTATACATTTATACAATAACCAAGTCCATTATGTTACTTGAAAAACTAGCTAAACGGATCTAAACGGATCTAATATGGTTGTAAGTCTGGTCTGCTCTGAAACATATTTCACCTTTTCTTAATAAACTAAACACACAATAAACAAACTAGAAAAACGGTTCCTGAGCATAAACAAAGTCTCAAAAGTTACTACATGCTTACTACGCACAAGTCCATGTTACAAGGGTGGCGCCGCCATTACAAAACCACATGTTCTCTCCTAGTGAACTGCTAAACTCTAAAACAGTGGTCTAGCGTAGTGTAAACCTCTAAACACACACTGAAAAATGTACTACCAAAACAATATACAGTCATCTTGTGTGTACTTTTCAATGTGTTTTACATTATATTACCTGAATAAACAGGACAAATGAAAGAGACGACAGCGTGAGCATCCGTTCAGTGCAGCCTCGCTTCATGTTATAAAATGGAGCGGACCAAAGACTCTCCAAGATGGGCCCTGGTGGAAAGTCCCGCTACTACTCACGACACTGCCCCCTGGTGGCGCACCCGCAAATGTGAAAATTACTTCTAAACAAACAAAAACACATTATTACACTAATAAAGGAGCTACTTTTGAGTTAAAATAAAGGATATCTTAAACTAAAACACCATAAAATGTGACTGCACATTTTGTGTGCGTCACACCTGTTCCTCCTGCTGCTGCTGCCTGTTCCTTCTGCTGCTGCCTGTTCCTCCTGCTGCTGCCTGTTCCTCCTGATGCTGCCTGTTCCTCCTGATGCTGCCTGTTCCTCCTGCTGCTGCCTGTTCCTCCTGCTGCTGCCTGTTCCTCCTGCTGCTGCCTGTTCCTCCTGCTGCTGCCTGTTCCTTCTGCCTGTTCCTGCTGCTCCTATGGCTGCCCGCCCCTACTGCTGCCTGTTCCCACAGCTGCCTGCTCTTGTTACTGCCGCTCCTGCTGCAGCCTGCTTGTCACTCCCGTATTCGTCCCGGAAACCGGATTCGTCCGGAAGTTCAGTTTGATCCAATGAGCATACGCAGCAGTAGATTACGTCACGGAATCTGGACGGAAGCGGAAGTAAATATAAAAAACTACCTATTCATGCCTAAAACATGGATCTATTATAATAACTGGATAGGGTATTACTAGCTTGTAGCTGAATAACTCATGTGCTCAGGGGATTCTCGCGGTACTGCAGACTGAACCAGACTAAATTCACGTGGGCTACACAGAAATTTTCCCCATAGAACTCAATGCATATTAAAACAGCTCAACCTCAGCTGACAGAGAACCTACAGCTTTAATAAAGATAGGATTTTGTGGGGATTTTAGTGTCCCTTGTCATCCTGAACTTTTTTTCTTCTTAAATCCTTCGGTTTTGTTTAAATCCACACTTTAGTGCCACAAACTCTGCTCCTCTGGCTCTCGCTCTAACTCCCGCTCTGATGAACTGCTCTGATTGGTCAGAGCGCGGCCGAGCCCCTCTGTGCACGTGCGTGAGACCCGGTGTGAGACCCACACACGCGTGTTTGACGCAACGCATTATGGGAGATCATCCACTGCGCAGAACCGGGAGGACCAGACGATGCCCAAATACAGGCGAGTTTCCCATAGATCTTTGCGAGTTCCAGGCGACTTCCGCTAATCTTTCAGCCCCCATCCCGTCACAAAGCGCCACTGAGCACAACCATTCATTTGAATAGGGCGCCATCTTGAATCGCCAGGGCTTGGCCTAAACTTAAAGCTGCACTAACTGACTTTATTTTTGTATCAATTACTAAAATGCTATCCATGTCCGTGTAGGGCATTGGGATATACGTCCTTTTGAAGAAAAAGTAGCGCAGATTTGTGCTGGCGTGACATTATATTTTAGATCGAGTTTTGATGAAACAAGGAAGAGAATGTGTTTCGGGTCTCAGATTGTGACCAATCACAGCGAACCACTAGCCCCCACTTTCGTGAGAAATCTACAGGTCTCCGTTAGCATAGACGGCTGAGTTAGCACAACAAGCCGAGGAGCTAACCTGAAGCTTCCTCGTCTTCGTCACCGGTTACTGCTTACACAGCAAAACAGCCATCCAAAAGAAAGTCTCGTTCCTCCGCGCTTCCCGGTTCTATCGTTCTATGGTCACGCCATCCACGTGCAAATCCATATTCGTGTATTATCCATATTGAGAGACACTAGCTCCGTCCCAACAGTGGGTGTGTGTGGGGGGCGATAGCTTCGTGGGTGCGGGGAGGGGAGCAGAAAGAGAGAGGCCAGCGGGTCTGCTGCTTCAAAATCCCAAAGTCAGTTAGTGCAGCTTTAACCAGCCATTCCCATAAAATAACCGCAACCCAGCCTTAACCCTAAACTTAACTATCTTAATCAGACGCCTAAACTTAACCAGTCTCCACTTAAGGACATATTAAACTTTTTGACATGCGCAAACTTAACTTCCGGACAAATCCGGTTTCCGGGACGAATACGGGAGTGACATGCTTGCTCCTACTGCTGCCGCTTCTGCTGCTGTCCGCGCAGATCCTTCCGGCGTAAAACGCCGCTCCTCCCGCTGGATGAGCGGGACGTATGAAGGTTATTTTGTGTTTTTATTATCAACACTTTTTTTTTGCTTTTGAATTCTATAAATTGTAACAAAAAAGTATTCAGTGTAAATAAATCCAATGTTTTAAAATTCAGTGTCCAAAAATTAATTGTTTTAAAATTCAGTGTCCAAAAATTCAATGTTGAAAAAAATTCAGTGTCCAAAAAATCGATCAGCCAATCCTCCATAGATGTAGCCAGGGCCAGAACACGACTTTGGCTTTATCCGAATGTCCACACTATACCCTATTCACTCACTCACTACATAGTGCGGGACTATATAGTGAGTGACTGAGTGAGTGGACTCATTCTGATGGTGATTCGGACGCTGCACACTATTATCAGGCCGTGCTATTGTACGTGAGCGTCCCGCTGTAGCATGGATCACGGAGCGGAGAGAGGAGCGGCCATGATGAGTTAAAGGTAAAAGTTGAATTTACGTTTTAATTAGGACATAACATTTAATTGTATTAACATTGGAGGTGGGAAAGAGCCCCTTCTATTGTTATATCAGAGCTCCAATGCTAACACGCTAACCACGGGTGTAAAGCTGCGCTGATGCCCAGAATGGAGCGTCATTCCCTGGGAGTCATTTTGAGAGCTCCCTTATGCTCAGGGCTGGACTGGCCATCGGGCGTACCGGGCAATGCCCGAAGGGCCGTTGCTCATATTTGGGCCGGTCTGTCTGCCTCATACAAAAAACATGTTTGTGAAAAGTGTAAAACCGTTGAGAATTGTTCGAGGGGAGCGCGCGTGTCCGCGGGGCACCTGCTGTATGTACTCGAACGGGATTCCACCACCTCAGCAGCTGCAGTGTTCCCGCATCTAGCGGCTCTGAGCTGGAGGCAGGAGCCGCTCACCGGGAACCGCTCACAACACAACACGGTGAGCGCGGAGCCGCAACGTGGCCATGTACCCAAGACCATAAACGTGCACAGGACCATGCGTGTCTTTTTGTAAATTGTGCACCCAATAAATACACCGCTGCAGAAAACAGTCCGCGTCTCCCCTCTCCTCTAAATTAAAGCTCGGGTACCTACATTTTCTATTGCATTAAAAGTTCATGTTTGAGCCCAAAAGTAAAATGTTGTGAACAGATTAAACAGATTTAGAGCCAGCTAATGGCTGACAATATGCATTTCAGAATTTTTTACCAATTCTCATCCCTGTAACAAACAATATTGTCTGTTTCACCTCCCTCACTCTGAGACATGTTTATTACTCTGTTTAATGTAGACTATTGTACTTTATTTTATAGTTGAAACTGCAGACATCCTGATCCTCTACAGTATGCTTCCACATACTGTATAAACCAGGGGTCGGCAACCTTTAGTGCCCCTAAAGTGGCTCCTGGAGCCTTTTCAAAAATGTCTGAAAATGGAGTGTGAGGGCTATATTTTATTTCTAGTTTGAATGTGGTTTCTGTAGGAGGAAAAACATTCTTAACGTTTTTCAATGCTGCAAAAACTTGTATAAGTAATATTCAATTTTAGCATTTCTGTCAACGTAGTGCGTCATATCCTGTGACCAGTGCTTAATTTGTAAATCATAAGGTGCCGGAACGCACAAGTACACAATGACAGAGCAGGTAAACGAAACCAATACAAGTGCCGGAACGTACAAAAGACGTTGTTGAAAACAATATTCAAATGCCCACTTGCCTTTCTGTGGGACTTACAGCTAAAATCCATACTTAATAAGACATATTATACAATAGTTAGGCTATAGGTTACTCTGCACAACACAGGCAAATGCCCACTTCACCGCAGGTGGGACTTGCAGAATACAGTCAGAAATTAATTCCTCAACAAAATCAGAGCTTACAATAAATCACACAAATCTTCCAATTATTATTTAAAAGTTGGCACGGCGGCCTATTAATATAGTATTATAGTATATATAGTATGCTTACCTATTTAGTTGTCCAAAATGCTCCACAACACGAGCAGGTCCGGATTATTCTCCTTCTCTCTGTTTCGGGTTTTACTGCACGTATCCGTGGCAGTTCTGTGTCCTTTGGTCACCCACGACCTCACGTACGGGACTGGGTTGAATTTAGCCAGGGGAGGTCCAACAAGATTTAGGAAGAGTAACGATGATATTGTGGTTATGAGCAGAGAGCCACGGTGGGGAGTGCAAATCAAGTTCATTTGAGAAAATCCCCGCTCACATTCAGCACTTGCAATGGGAATGCTGTTGACAGCAGTAAATAACTCAATCAGTTCATCAGGCGTGTCGTGTCCATCTGAGTCTCTGTACTTTCTGTAGGCCCGTATAACTGCGCGTGGGTCAGATATATTAAAGCGCTGACACAGTGACTCAACCTCAGTCTCTTCATAAAGCGCACCTGCGTCCTCGGGCCAATACTGCGCATAAAGCACCTTCAACTCCTCAATGAACTTGTTATATCCCGTTTTGTCTGGTACCCGGCCTCCTTGGGATAACATCCGATTCTCCAGGTTCTTGGCCACAGCTTGGAAAAATGGCTTGGCGTCCAGTGTTTTGTCGCTTGATTTTCCTTCATTTAGTGTAATTCCTTGGAAAGAGTTTTCCTCAATTCCTTTTTGGCTCAGTACAGTGTAGCGCCCTGGCCTATCTGACAATGCCTCAAACACCCTGATTTCACGACATATTGTTTTGTGGGCTGAAATGATTGTAATGTCTCGTTTTTGAAGCTCTACTGAGAACTCAGATAATTCTTGCAACGCGTCGCACATTATGCCCAAATTGTTCACAAACGCATGTGAAGATAAACGCATAGCAAGTCCGCTGTATGTTTTGCGATGCTATCACGGGAGGAATCTTCAGATGCAGTTCTGAAATGTTTGTAAAGTGCTGGATAGTTCTTCCACACTGCATCAACGGTTCTAAAACTTGATGCTACCCATCTAGTGTCTAAAATCCGACCTATTTTGCATAGTTGGATATATAGGCTCTCAGCAGACTCTCTCAGCTCTATTCTGTTTTTGTTAGATGTGCTATACAATGAATATAACTTGTCCATCAATATTTTAAAGTGATTTATAGCGCCCATCTCTTTCACTACGTCTGAGACTGCGAGCTCAAGCCTGTGCCCTGCGCAGTGCCACAGAGTAATGCTGGGGAAAATGGCCTGGAGCCGGGTCGCTACTCCGCTTTTACGTCCCAACATAACAGAAGCGCCATCACAAGTAACACCAATGAGGGTTCGAGAGAGAAAATCCTGGGTCAAATGCAGGCGCTCCAGAGCAATTAATAGTTTGTTGACAATACCTCGAGCAGTTAGATCGTCGAGCTCCACAAGTTCAGTGAAAATGTTTGTGGGCTTGTCCATATCAGGTAACTGAGCTCTAATGTATATGATCAAACAGCTCTTCTTGCTTAAACTGGTTGACTCATCCAGCATTAGACTGAGTTTGGGTGCGCACTGTACTATCTTTTCAAACAGTTTCTTTTTCATTTAATCGGAAATATGTTTCTGTATGTTTGCACATGCAACATTGGAGTGTAAAATCCTCCCCATATCGAGTCCATTTAACTCTTGGCAATCAATCTCATGTTCGAAGCCATATGCGGGACGGTTGCGTTTAGCCTCCTTGTATGCCGTGCGAAAGACGCAAGTTGTCTTAGTCATCTGTTCAGACAGACTATTAATTATAGACTGTCCTAAAGTGTCTTCTTTAGCCTTCTCAAGAATACTTGCTGCTGCTAGGTGAGCTTTGGTACGGGCATGTTCAAAGACTTTTTTTCTGAGCACGCGTTGCTGTTTTTTAATATCAGAAGAAGATGAGGCCACTGTACTTGACACCCACTCTGTAGCAAGTTTCATTCCTCCCGTTTTCTCCGGCCCCAAAGTCCCCACCGCCTTACAAATTGTGCAGCCCAAACCAGAACTGTCCATAAGAAGCCAGGGGTAGTAACTCTGCTTCACCTTGAACTGAGCAGCAGTCCAAACAGTTGCGCATCCCCCTGACCTGTCGCTGGATGAACCACATTCTTCTCCGCTCAGTGCGCGCTCCTCTCCTTCTGACGCTTCATGAAAGAAGCGCGTTGATGTCGTGGTTCCCGCCTCTTGCTGCTGTACTAGCTAGCTGATATCTCCATACTGGCCTCTTGCTCCAGTTGTTGGTGGGGATCCACATGATGGCTGATCGTGTGCGCTGTATCTGCCCCCCACTCAGGCGGGCTATGAACCAGGTCACCTGTTGCGGGGCTAGCCTCTTCCTCCTGGTCACTAGCATCACCACTTGCTGCTTTCCTCACTCGTTTAGTAGCATCATGCGACTTGTCCGTCTCCTTGAAAAAAGACATAAGATTCAATTGTCTTTTTGACATGTTTGCGCTGAAACTCCGTATATTCCTCTCTCTTGGTCAGTTGGTCAATTCGGTCCTCGCCGTAAACATCACAGACGCGGCAAACCTTACTTTCTGTGAGGGGCGTGGTTTGATCCCGACTCTCCCAAATTACGTTAAATTTGAGTAGAGAACATGAAATTTGATGGATTTATTCTTTAAATTAATATAATTATTTTTTCTTATCTATTTTCAGACTTTTAAAAATTATTATTTTGAATATTTATATTAGAGGTGACGGATCTGCCCAAATAAGTCCCGGAACACGTAGAGGCCAAAATAGGATCCGGCACAAATTAACCACTGCCTGTGACGCGGCCCCGTGCCAGGCGGCCGCTGCTTAAACAAACCGGCGTGTGTGCATTATAGACTGTGTGTGCGCATGGATCCCAAAGATAAAGAGAGAGAGTCGATAAGACTGGACTAAGAATCAGAATGAACATTTACTTTCAGTCAATGAGGAAGGACTGCTTCATGTTTGCGATGTAATGAAAAGTTTTGTTGCAACAGGAGGAACAATGAAGCTTTAAACACTGTTCACTGAAAGATTCATTCATCATAAAGTCAGAGCACCTATTTTCAGACTTCAAAAACCTTCGCAAAGACGGTGAAAGAAAAGGCCATTAAGGACATTCAGCTCCAGCAAACTTCAGCCTGTGATGTGTGTTAAGTCAATCTCGGCTTAAATCTAAAACATCTTTCTAATCTACTCTTACTGCTCTGTCTTCCTATCTCTTTTGTTATTTTACCTTTAGCCTGTAGATGGAGGCATAGTTACTTTGGAACCAGTAGTCTGGCAAATAATTAGCCAAGTTTGTGCAGGTGTGTAACCACACACACAAACTGAATGCATGAAGGTGAACACAGATGCTACTGGTGAGTGAAGATTTCTGTTTAAAAGCTTGAAATAGACAAAGGCCTCGTTTTAGTTCGTTTGCTATCAGGAATGTAACATATTTTGGCTAATTCAACCACTTTGAGTCACCCAAGTGAGGGGTAATATTATTTCACTTATTTCTCAGTCTAGGCACCTCAACTCTATTTGGCTAATATCTATTGTGGGTAACTTTCAGTTAATTGTAATCAATATTTACAAGAAATTATCTTTAACGTCTCACAATCAGTTTAATTGATTGGCTCTGTAAGTTGAGTTAACAGTACAGTCTAAAATATTTGTTATTTATTTATTTGTTTAAATAATCTTCAATCTAAAAAGTTAGTGTTATGATCAAATACAATGTTAAAATATTGTGATAAAATTTGTAAAAACTAAAAGTAATTAAGTTAAATTCTAAAAGTATTTGGACCGTAGTTATTGTAATAAAACATTAAAATTACGATAACAATTACAATAAAATTCAAGTTAAAAACATAGTAAAAATAGTACAAATTTAGTTTAAAAGTATTAATTCATTCTTTAAAAAGTAATTCGATAAAATCTGTTTATTAAAAATGTATATTTTCTCCAAAGGTTTTCGACCTGCTGCTGTTGCTACTGCTGATACAACAAATGACAATAAAAAGTTAAAGCTGAGTTGAACCTGCGTCCTTGTGTTCATTGGGTTTTCAAGTCGAACCTGCATTCAGACATCAAAACTTTAAAGGACTTGACAATGTGATCGATATGAACAGACAGTTATGCAGGTGAACTCGGAGCCAAAAAGCAGATGTATTTACTGTATTTGTACAATTGCATGAAGGCAAAAAAATTGAAGTTAAACTTAAAGGAGAGTTGTCACGTGGTGCGTCATTCTCTCCAGGACACGTGTTGTCAAAAAAGATTTGACTGACGTGTTCAGAATTTGATACAGAAATAAGGCCAAGAATGCAGGAGTTAAAAATAGAACATTTAATTCTCTTTATAATTAAATATTGATACAAAACTCTTGGAGCCCTTAATTCTCTAAAACTAACCCTATGCTGAGCCATTCTAACTGTCCCTCCAGGCCTGAAAAATGTGCAGGGGACATCCAGGCGCTCTGCGATGTTCCCTGTCTAACTATCCCTGCTCAGACTGAGGCCAAGACTCAAGCCAAAGCATATAAGAAGAACAGGAGGGGCGTGTCGTATCAGCCAGTTCATAGACTTCTGGACTCCTTTGTCTCGGTGCTTCCCCCTCCGTATCTCTGCATTCCAGACCCTCAGCGGCGTCTTCCTGTCTGGGACTAAATCAACAGCTGCGCCGCCTGTTTGCTATCCTTGTCCTTGGGGGATGGTCTGGCCGACTCGACTAGACCCCACTAATATGAAATCACTGAAAATATAAACGACGTGTGCAGCATTTCTTGAGATGATGCATTATTCCCTCTCTTGACCTTTCATAAATAGGTCACATCCACATCGTCGTTTATCATCAATACTTGTGCTTAGTTCAGGCTCGATATCTGTGAAGAGTTAATACAGGGAAAACAAACAACACACAACCACATTCAAAACATATGTTTTTATCTAATAAATCCCTCTATACTATGGTTTTGCTTTCATTAAAAGTGGCTTTGTGCCCGTGTGATTTTGCTCATGTCTATTCTACATTCTCAGAAACAAAACTGAACACAGAAAGACAAATGGTTAGTATGAACATTATTATGCTAATTTTTCCAAATACATTTGTTGAACCAGGAAGTGCTGTCACTTCCTCCTCTCAGACAGTTTGGGATGAATGTACATCATTAATCAAATTGGTATTATCCTTACAGGAGCTAAGGTATTTGATTCTCTAATCTGTTGCTGACAAATCGACAGCTCTTAAAATTCTCAAATACCTAAATATCTACTTTTGTGCTATACCCAAATACATTAAAATGCTTTTAATTTTTTTTTGAATCTGTGTTGGTTCTAATCTATCTCAATAATCCATCTCATTAATCTAAGCTACACTCATGAACTTCTTGCATTGTCAACATTCACCTATGTTTGAAACAAGTGAATTTGACAAGCATCTAATAAAACTGTGCGTAAACTGTAATGAACTTTATCTACTTTTGAAGTAAATACTTTTGGACATATTATGAAGGAAATGGTCCCTTTGCCGTTTGATTTTTAGCCCTGTCTAAAAATAATCTCTATTTTTGAAAGAATCTCTATTTCTACTCTTGTGACTCCAAAGCTCGGTTGTAGCTTGAGCCAAAGCATATTTCCAATTTGTGACTTCTGTCACTTTCAATGGCTGCAAAATAATTCTGATTCTAACAGTTTAGCTGCTCTATCAGAAGGATCACAATGTATGGTACCATTTTAACTCTTACGCTGAAGTGTGTTTATAAACCATGATCAAATTCTACTTTTTCTACTATTTAACATCTACCAAAACGCTGAAATACTCATACTTTGTCTTTAAACCATTTTAACAGTTGCTCAGTCCCCCCAGACTAAAAGTCAACCTTTTTGTCTGCCAGACTGAACACTTAACATTCATTGCATTTGTCGCAGTTGTGGTTCTAGTGGTAACAATTGCATTGGCAATAGATGATTTTTCATTGGCTGGTTCTCGTTCTGCAAATCACTATTTTATGTGTTGTATTTCAGACAATTCCAAAAACCACACAGTAGTTCTCCAATATTAAAGACATGAATCTAATCAAGTTGCCTCAATAATCACCATCTCATTAATCTAAGCTACACTCATGAACTTCTTGCATTGTCAACATTCACCTATGTTTGAAACAAGTGAATTTGACAAGCATCTAATAAAACTGTGCGTAAACTGTAATGAACTTTATCTACTTTTGAAGTGAATACTTTTGGACATATTATGAAGGAAATGGTCCCCTTGCCGTTTGATTTTTAGCCCTGTCTAAAAATAATCTCTATTTTTGAAAGAATCCTCTATTTCTACTCTTGTGACTCCAAAGCTCGGTTGTAGCTTGAGCCAAAGCATATTTCCAATTTGTGACTTCTGTCACTTTCAATGGCTGCAAAATAATTCTGATTCTAACAGTTTAGCTGCTCTATCAGAAGGATCACAATGTATGGTACCATTTTAACTCTTACGCTGAAGTGTGTTTATAAACCATGATCAAATTCTACTTTTTCTACTATTTAACATCTACCAAAACGCTGAAATACTCATACTTTGTCTTTAAACCATTTTAACAGTTGCTCAGTCCCCCCAGACTAAAAGTCAACCTTTTTGTCTGCCAGACTGAACACTTAACATTCATTGCATTTGTCGCAGTTGTGGTTCTAGTGGTAACAATTGCATTGGCAATAGATGATTTTTCATTGGCTGGTTCTCGTTCTGCAAATCACTATTTTATGTGTTTGTATTTCAGACAATTCCAAAAACCACACAGTAGTTCTCCAATATTAAAGACATGAATCTAATCAAGTTGCCTGAAAGGGAGCGGGAGGAAGAGAACTATTTTAAAAATGTTCTCTACGATTATATGGCTATGAAATTAATTATTTAATAAACAAAAGCACATTCATGGCTTCTGTCCGCTGCTTATAACTGTTTAAAGAGTTGTCCCAAACTTAATATGTGTGAATACATCAGCTGTTTGTAATAAACAATAACATTTAACCTGTTCTCCAATGGAGCAGCTCAGAGGCTGCGTCAAGAGCAATGTTATATTTGGGCTATTTTTTAGATTAAAAATGTGTTAACGCCTGTCGTTCTATGTCTGTATTTTAATACTACTCT